AGGTATATTGGAGAGAATTATTGGAGAGAATTTCCCCAATATGGCAAAGGGAACAACCATCAAAATCCAGGAGGTTCAGAGAACCCCCCTCAAAATCAATAAGAATAGGTCCACACCCCGTCACCCAATAGTAAAATTTACAAGTCTTAGTGACAAAGAGAAAATCCTGAAAGCAGCCCGGGAGAAGAAGTCTGTAACATACAATGGTAAAAATATTAGATTGGCAGCAGACTTATCCAGAGACCTGGCAGGCCAGAAAGAGCTGGCATGATATATTCAGAGTACTAAACGAGAAAAACATGCAGCCAAGAATACTATATCCAGCTAGGCTATCATTGAAAATAGAAGGAGAGATTAAAAGCTTCCAGGACAAACAAAAACTGAAAGAATTTGCAAACACCAAGCCAGCTCTACAGGAAATATTGAAAGGGGTCCTCTAAGCAAAGAGAGACCCTAAAAGTAGTAGATCAGAAAGGAACAGAAACAATATACAATAACAGTCACCTTACAGGCAATACAATGGCACTAAATTCACATCTCTCAAAAGTTACCCTGAATGTTAATGGGCTAAATGCCCCAATCAAAAGACACAGGGTATCAGAATGGATAAAAAAACAAAACCCATCTATATGTTGCCTACAAGAAACTCATTTTAAACCCGAAGACACCTTCAGATTTAAAGTGAAGGGGTGGAAAAGAATTTACCATGCTAATGGACATCAGAAGAAAGCAGGAGTGGCAATCCTTATATCAGATCAATTAGATTTTAAGCCAAAGACTATAATAAGAGATGAGGAAGGACACTATATCATACTCAAAGGATCTGTCCAACAAGAAGATCTAACAATTGTAAATATCTATGCCCCTAACATGGGAGCAGCCAACTATATAAACCAATTAATAACAAAATCAAAGAAACACATCAACAATAATACAATAATAGTAGGGGACTTTAACACTCCACTCACTGAAATGGACAGATCATCCAAGCAAAAGATCAACAAGGAAATAAAGGCCTTAAATGACACGCTGGACCAGATGGATATCACAGATATATTCAGAACATTTCATCCCAAAGCAACAGAATACACATTCTTCTCTAGTGCACATGGAACATTCTCCAGAATAGATCACATCCTCGGTCCTAAATCAGGTCTCAACCGGTATCAAAAGATTGGGATCATTCCCTGCATATTTTCAGACCACAATGCTCTAAAGCTAGAACTCAATCACAAGAGGAAATTTGGAAAGAACCCAAATACATGGAGACTAAACAGCATCCTTCTAAAGAATGAATGGGTCAACCAGGAAATTAAAGAAGAATTGAAAAAATTCATGGAAACAAATGATAATGAAAATACAACGGTTCAAAATCTGTGGGACACAACAAAGGCAGTCCTGAGAGGAAAATATATAGCGGTACAAGCCTTTCTCAAGAAACAAGAAAGGTCTCAGGTACACAACCTAACCCTACACCTAAAGGAGCTGGAGAAAGAACAAGAAAGAAACCCTAAACCCAGCAGGAGAAGAGAAATCATAAAGATCAGAGCAGAAATCAATGAAATAGAATCCAAAAAAAAACAATAGAACAAATCAACGAAACTAGGAGCTGGTTTTTTGAAAGAATTAATAAGATTGATAAACCCCTGGCCAGACTTATCAAAAAGAAAAGAGAAAGGACCCAAATAAATAAAATCATGAATGAAAGAGGAGAGATCACAACTAACACCAAAGAAATACAGACAATTATAAGAACATATTATGAGCAACTCTATGCCAACAAATTTGACAATCTGGAAGAAATGGATGCATTCCTAGAGACATATAAACTACCACAACTGAACCAGGAAGAAACAGAAAGCCTGAACAGACCCATAACCAGTAAGGAGATTGAAACAGTCATCAAAAATCTCCAAACAAACAAAAGCCCAGGGCCAGATGGCTTTCCGGGGGAATTCTACCAAACATTTAAAGAAGAACTAATTCCTATTCTCCTGAAACTGTTCCAAAAAATAGAAATGGAAGGAAAACTTCCAAACTCATTTTATGAGGCCAGCATCACCTTGATCCCAAAACCAGACAAGGATCCCATCAAAAGAGATAACTACAGACCAATATCCTTGATGAACACAGATGCAAAAATTCTCACCAAAATACTAGCCAATAGGATTCAACAGTACATTAAAAAGATTATTCACCACGACCAAGTGGGATTTATTCCAGGGCTGCAAGGTTGGTTCAACATCCGCAAATCAACCAATGTGATACAACACATTAATAAAAGAAAGAACAGGAACCATATGATACTCTCCATAGATGCTGAAAAAGCATTTGACAAAGTACAGCATCCCTTCCTGATCAAGACTCTTCAAAGTGTAGGGATAGAGGGCACATACCTCAATATTATCAAAGCCATCTATGAAAAACCCATCGCAAATATCATTCTCAATGGAGAAAAACTGAAAGCTTTTCCTCTAAGGTCAGGAACACGGCAGGGATGTCCGTTATCACCACTGCTATTCAACATAGTACTAGAAGTCCTAGCCTCAACAATCAGACAACAAAAAGAAATTAAAGGCATCCAAATCAGCAAAGAAGAAGTCAAACTATCACTCTTTGCAGATGATATGATACTATATGTGGAAAACCCAAAAGACTCCACTCCAAAACTGCTAGAACTTGTACAGGAATTCAGTAAAGTGTCAGGATATAAAATCAATGCACAGAAATCAGTCGCATTTCTCTACACCAACAAGACAGAAGAAAGAGAAATTAAGGAGTCAATCCCATTTACAATTGCACCCAAAACTATAAGATACTTAGGAATAAACCTAACCAAAGAGACTAAGAATCTATACACAGAAAACTATAAGGTACTCTTGAAAGAAATTGAGGAAGACACAAAGAAATGGAAAAATGTTCCATGCTCCTGGATTGGAAGAATAAATATTGTGAAAATGTCTATGCTACCTAAAGCAATCTACACATTTAATGCAATTCCTATCAAAGTACCATCCATTTTTTTCAAAGAAATGGAACAAATAATCCTAAAATTTATATGGAACCAGAAAAGACCTCGAATAGCCAAAGGAATATTGAAAAAGAAAGCCAAAGTTGGTGGCATCACAATCCCGGACTTCAAGCTCTATTACAAAGCTGTCATCATCAAGACAGCATGGTACTGGCACAAAAACAGACACATAGATCAATGGAACAGAATAGAGAGCCCAGAAATAGACCCTCAACTCTATGGTCAACTAATCTTCGACAAAGCAGGAAAGAATGTCCAATGGAAAAAAGACAGCCTCTTCAATAAATGGTGTTGGGAAAACTGGATAGCCACATGCAGAAAAATGAAATTGGATCATTTCCTTACACCACACACGAAAATAGACTCAAAATGGATGAAGGACCTCAATGTGAGAAAGGAATCCATCCAAATCCTTGAGGAGAACACAGGCAGCAACCTCTTCGACCTCAGCCGCAGCAACATCTTCCTAGGAACATCGCCAAAGGCAAGGGAAGCAAGGGCAAAAATGAACTATTGGGATTTTATCAAGATCAAAAGCTTTTGCACAGCAAAGGAAACAGTTAACAAAACCAAAAGGCAACTGACAGAATGGGAGAAGATATTTGCAAACGACATAGCAGATAAAGGGCTAGTGTCCAGAATCTATAAAGAACTTAGCAAACTCAACACCCAAAGAACAAATAATCCAATCAAGAAATGGGCAGAGGACATGAACAGACATTTCTGCAAAGAAGACATCCAGATGGCCAACAGACACATGAAAAAGTGCTCCATATCACTCGGCATCAGGGAAATACAAATCAAAACCACAATGAGATACCACCTCACACCAGTCAGAATGGCTAAAATCAACAAGTCAGGAAATGACAGATGCTGGCAAGGATGCGGAGAAAGGGGAACCCTCCTACACTGTTGGTGGGAATGCAAGCTGGTGCAACCACTCTGGAAAACAGCATGGAGGTTCCTCAAAATGTTGAAAATAGAACTACCCTATGACCCAGCAATTGCACTGCTGGGTATTTACCCTAAAGATACAAACGTAGTGATCCGAAGGGGCACGTGCACCCGAATGTTTATAGCAGCAATGTCTACAATAGCCAAACTATGGAAAGAACCTAGATGTCCATCAACAGACGAATGGATAAAGAAGAGGTGGTATATATACACAATGGAATACTATGCAGCCATCAAAAGAAATGAAATCTTGCCATTTGCGACGACGTGGATGGAACTAGAGGGTATCATGCTTAGTGAAATAAGTCAATCGGAGAAAGACAATTATCATATGATCTCCCTGATATGAGGGAGAGGAGATGCAACATGGGGGGTTAAGGGGGTAGGAGAAGAGTAAATGAAGCAAGATGGGATTGGGAGGGAGATAAACCATAAGTGACTCTTAATCTCACAAAACAAACTGAGGGTTGCTGGGGGGAGGGGGGTTGGGAGAGGGGGGTGGGGTTATGGACATTGGGGAGGGTATGTGCTATGGTGAGTGCTGTGAAGTGTGTAAACCTGGCGATTCACAGACCTGTACCCCTGGGGGGGAAAATATATATGTTTATAAAAAATAAAATTAAAAAAAATATATGGCATATATACAATGGAATATTATCTAGCCTTAAAAAGGAATGAAATTCTGATACATGTTAGATGAACCTTCAAAAAATCATGCTAAATGAAATAAGCCAGACAGAAAAAGACAAATACAGTATTATCCCACCTATATGAATATAGAGTAGGCAAATTCATAGAGACAAAGTGGAATAGTGGTAACCAGGGGCTGGTCAGGAGGGGGAAGTGAGGTGTTATCATTTAATGGGTACATAGCTTCTATATAGGATGATGAAATGATGAGAGAGAGAGATGGTGACAGTTACACAACATTGTGAATACACTTAGCGAACTGTATGTTAAAAAATGGTTAAAATGGTATGTATATTTGATCACAATTGTTTTAAAAAGGCAATACCTGAGAAAATGGAATGTCATAATCCCTGTAGAAACCAGCTCTTTTTTTGTGGGAACTTTCTGTATGTTCAACATCTGAATCAAGGCTGTAGTCTGAGCTATCATCACTAGATGGAGAATTATGCTAAAAGAAAGGAAAAAACAAATAGTTATATTTGCAAAAGGGAAAAAATTTAACTAGTAACTAGACAGGCTTGTTTCAGCCAGAAATGCCAACCATAGACTGTATTATCCTCTAGTAGGTTCTGAAGTATTAACCCAAAAATCCTTGTTCCAGGGGCACCAGGGTGGCTCAGTCAGTTAAGCAGCTGCCTTTGGCTCAGGTCATAATCCTTCTCCCTCTTCTCTCTGCTCCTGTTCTCTCATTGTCTCTGTCTCTCTCAACTGAATTAAAAATATATATATCAAAAAAGTAGAGTAATTATTAACCTGAAATTAGCAGTTGGACTACATTAAAAATAGCTAGTAAATAGAGTAGGTATAGATATGGTATATCACTTCTGAGATTAGGTTATAAAAGAGACTACAGCTTTCATCTTGGGTGCTTTCTCTTGTTCTCTCTCACTCATGGTCCACCTGCTTTGGGGGAAGCCAGATAACATAATGAGGACATTGACGCAGTCTGTAGAGAATTCCACACGGTGAGGAGTTGAGACCTGCCAAGAGCCATGTGAGTGAGCATGGAAAAGGACCCTGCCTTCGTCAAGCCTTGAGATGATGGCAACCCCATGGGAAAAGCTGAGCCAGAAGCACCTGGTTAAAGCTGCACCCAGATTCCTGACCCATAGAAACTGGGAAATAAATTTCTATTCTTTTAAGTATCTAAGTTTGGGGTAATGCTGTGCAGCAACAGTTAACTAATAAGATTTTGGTGTCTGGAAATGTTGTTTTTCCATAAGAAAAATCTAAAAAGTAGGAGGGATCTTGGAAACAGGCAGTGGATAGAAACTGGAAGGACTTTCAGTAGAGTATTAGCTAAAGTCTAAACTGCCTCAAATAAGGAGCACCTGGTTAGCTCAGTTGGTGGAGTATGCAACTCAATCTCCAGATCATGAGTTCAAGCCTCACATTGGGTGTAGAGATACAAAAAATAGTAATAATAATTTAAAAAAATGGGTTGGGCAACCAACTCTTGGTTTCCTCTTGGATTATGATTTCTTAGGTCATAAGACTGAGCCCTGTGTCAGGCTCCATGCTCAGCAGGGAGTTGGCTTGGGATTTTCTCTCTCCCTCTGCCCCTCCCACAACTCGTGCATGTGTGTGCTCTCTAAATAAATAAATAAATTGCCTTGAATGATTGTTAGTAAAATTCTGAACTTTGAGGCAACTTGAAGTGGGATATCTTATTAAAATCAGAAGAATAGGGGCACCTGGGTGGCTCAGTGGGTTAAAGCCTCTGCCTTTGGCTTGGGTCATGGTCCCAGGGTCCTGGGATCGATCCCCACATTGGGCTCTCTGCTCAGCCCAATGTGGGGAAAGCAGGGAGCCTGCTTTCTCCTCTCTCTCTGCCTGCTTCTTTGCCTACTTGTGATCTCCGTCTGTCAAATAATAAAATCTTTTAAAAAAAATCGTAAGAATAGAAACCCTCATCATGCAATGGCAGAAAGGTGAATAAAACAGCTACATTCAGTAACATGGAAAGCAGAAAATGTGTCTAGTGAACTAAGTGATCTAGTTAAGATTTTCAAGAAAAATGTTGAAAGTATTTATTTGCCAAAGAAGATAGACAAAGGAAAGGCTGTTAAAAAGGAGATGGGACTTACTGGTTTTGAAAGTTCTTAGTCAACATACAGACTTTCATTTGTGCTTTTCCCTTCTTTTCCTTTTTTCTTAAGTAAGCTCCACACCCAACATGGAGCTCAAACTCACACCCCAAGATGAAGAGTCACATGTTCCACCGACTGAGCCAGCCAGGTGCCCCCTTTTTCTTAATTAGTTTGGACAGTGATTTATATATATTGCTGATCTTTTTTTTTTTTTTAAATAACCACTGGTTTTTCATTCTAGTTCATTAAGTTCTGCTTGTAACTTAATTTTTTTTAAAGATTTTATTATCATTTATTTATTTGACAGAGAAAGAGAGAGATCACAAGTAGGCAGAGAGGCAGGCAGAGAGAGGAGGAAGCAGGCTCACCGCCGAGCAGAGAGCCCGATTCGGGGCTCGATCCCAGGACCCCGAGATCACAACCCGAGCCAAAGGCAGAGGCCTAACCCACCGAGCCACCCAGGCGACCCTGCTTGTGACTTAATTAAAAGTCCTTCCTTTTTAGGGCACCTGGGTGGCTCAGTCAGTTAAGCGGCTGCCTTCAGCTCAGGTCATGATCCCGGGTTCCTGGGATCAAGCCCCGCATGGGCTCCCTGCTCAGTGGAGAGCCTGCATCTCCCTCTCCCTCTGCCTGCCCCTCTGCCTACCTGCGCTTTCTCTCTATCCGTCTGTCAAATAAATAAATAAAATCTTAAAAAAAAAGTCCTTACTTTTTGTATTTGTTCTGATATCCTACTTTTCTAGCTTTTATTACTGCAATACTCTATAATTTTTCTCCTGATAACTGCTTTGGTTATAATCTGTTGGTACTTACACATCAAGATTTTATCATTATTTTCACAAATTTCTGCAGTTCTAATGTTTCCCCTGTGTTTCACAGGCTATTTAAAGTAGGTATTTGAATTAAAAGCAAAAAAACATTTTGTTTTTTAGACTTTATTAGCAATATCTAATTTTATTGTATTGTAGTTTGAAATTGCTCTTTGTAACATTTCCACTCCATTCAAGTAATTGGAGCTTATAAGGCCTACTGTATGGCCGTAAAGATGAGAGGAAGATGTATTCTCAGGATTCAGAGAACCCTGACTACCTAATCTCTCTTTAGTATCCTTACCACCTTTTCATCCACTTGATTGATCTCTTTGGGTTAAGAGAGGCATATTGGTATATCTCCTGCTATTAGTGTATTCCTATTTCTTCCTGCAGTTCCTATAGTTCTTGCTTTATAAAAGTTGCTGTTTTGGGGGACATAAAATATCCCCCAAATATTCATAACTTATACTTCATCCCCCTGCTTGTGCACGCTTTCTCTCTCTGACAAATAAATAAATAAAATCTTAAAAAAAAAAAAAGATGTTAACTTGCATTAAAAGTTACCTTGATTTTTAAATCTTTGGATAATTCATATCTTTGTGTTCAGAAAATTTATTAATCACAAAAGTAAAAATATCTAATCAACAAGTTGTTTTTTGGGGGGTGGAGGAGTAGAGGGAGAGAGAGAATCTTAAGCAGGCTCCATGCCCAGTGAGGAGCCTGACACAGGGCTCAATCTCACACCCCAAGATCATGACCTGAGCTGAAATCCAAAGTCATACACTTAACTAACTGAGCCACCCAGGTGTCCCTCTAATCAATAAGCTTTATAATAAAATAAGAAATTATTTATACTTTCTGATTTTCGTATTTTATATTTCATACAAATTTGCTAAAAGAATTCAAAGTAGATTCTAACTAACCTTATGTTTTTCACGTTTCCTCCTTTTGGATTTTTTCTTCTCTCTTTCTTTCTTGTGTTTTTTCCTTGATTTTCTATAGGCTTTTTCATTTTTCTGTTTTTCATCCTCTTTTGCTTCCTGTTCTTGTGTTTCTTCAAGTCCTGCATCATCTATTTCACCATCTTCTAATTCGCCATCTTCTCTGTAGAAAACAATGACATTTTTATTTTTAAATGTTATTCAAAAATGAGTCTTATAGGAACATTTCCAAAAGAAAAAAAAAGCAGATGCCAAGAATTTAAGTTACATTCATTTAGATCAGGAATGGCAAACTTTTCCTGTAAAGGGGCCCAGTAGTATATTTACAGGCCAAATATGATTTCTGTTGCACATTCTTCCCCATTCCTGGGGAACAATCCTTCAAAAATGTTAGAACCAGTCTTAGCGGCAAAAATTTCCCAACCTCTGATTTGGATTAAGATCACTGACTCTTACCAAATGAATGAATGCATGCATAAATGCGGTGGTATTCCATTGTATTATAGTAGTTGCCATCTACTAAACATTACCTTTTAAAAAAAGGTTGAACTAAAACATTTCAGTAAGTAAACATTCTCACTACAGGAAGGGATTTTTAACAGTGTCACATAAACAACTATAATTAGCTTTAAAATAAAAGTAATCTGTATTAATTCTCACCATCAAACTTTAATAAGAAAACAAGTAAGTAGATAAGGAACAAAATCTGAGCTACAGAAGAATCATAAATTAAACTTGAAAAAAAATTAAACTTCAATCTGCAAAAAATAATGGTAGTAAAATCATGAACTGAATTCCACTTCCTAAATACTAATATGTTTGCTATAATGAAGACCAAACTAGAAACAAACTTTTATATTGCTTATGACCCTTTTATACTTATAGAAGCCAAAATATTAATAGTATTTTAAAGACAAATTAAACAATGATCTATCTAAGTATATAAAATAAGTTTAGCATTTAAAGTTTCCATACAGTTTTGAAAAAATGCAAACTTCTATAAATAGTACAGAAAAACAAATGTCTGTATGACTGGAAAAAAATGAGAAGCAACTAAACGATGGTGTGTGCATTGTAAAGATACTTTTAAGTTGCTAGGGTGGGTGCCTGGGTGGCTCAGTTGTTAAGCGCCTGCCTTTGGCTAGGTCATGATTGCAGGGTCCTGGGATCAGCCCTGCATTGGGCTCCCTGTTCAGCAGGAAGCCTGCTTCTCTCTCTCTCATTCCCACTGCTTGTGTTCCCTTTCTTATTGTGTCTCTGTCAAATAAATAAATAAAATCTTTAAAAAAATAGTTACTAGAGATACGTGATTTCTAAAATGCAAAACTGATGATGTCATTCTCCTGCTTAAAATCCTCAATGACGATGTGTTGTCTCAAATTTGCTTCAGAACTGTCCACTGGGGGAGAAAGGAAGTGGTATCAACAAGATTGGTCATGAGTTGGTAATCGCTCAGATTGTGGGATGTATAGGTGTTTGAAGTTTTCCATAATAAAAGGACGATACCAGTGATTCCCTTCTGACGTGAGGATGACATCAGACCTCCATGATATTACCAAAAGGCACTTTATAATTGAATCCCTGTTCCCCGCTACTTTCAATTTCTCATGTCTCTAAGCTTTAAACATCACCTTAAAAACTCTCATTGCCCTGCTCCTCTCAACACCTATCCTTCACTTCCTTTATCTGGCTAACTCCAGCTCATTCTACTGGACCCAGTTCAGCTGTCATTTCCTCTGAGCTGCTTCCACTGATGACCCAGGTTTAGCTGAGATGCTTTACCCGAAGTACACTCCTAATAATTCTCATTTCTTTATCACTACACTCTATGCATTATGTTCAAATAACATGAACATATTGGTTGAGGAAAGTAGGATGCAATTGAGTCTTTCATAGCTGTATCTCTAAACCCTAGGATGGTTCCCTGCTGTTCACTGAATGAATGAATGTATAATATCTGTAACTCCTGCATTGAAGAACAGGCACATGATACCACCCAAAACTGGCTGTGAAGTCAATGTTGTTTTCCCCCAGTTTCTATTACAAAATCAAAGAGGTATATATATCCATTCAGGCAGACTTGAAAATTTCTTGTGAGGCGGGGCTGGCATTCTGGCTGTTTTAACAAAAAACGTTCTGAACTTTTCTAACACTATAAAACCTGAAGTTCCAAGAAAACTGAGTACATATATTCATCAAAAGATAAGCACAAGAATGTTCTTTGCAGCTTTAGTCATAATAGTAAAAAATTGTTAACAACCCAAATCACCATCAACAGGTGAATGGATAAATTTGCTTTATTTATATAATGAAATGCTGTAAGGCAAAAAAAATTAGCCACTGTTACATGCAATACGGACAAATCTTATAGACACAATTATGAGTAAAAGAAGTTAGACATGAGAGTACTGTTTGATTCCATTTATATGCATTTCAAGAAGAGGCAAAACTAACCTATTGTGACAGAAGTCAAAATAGTAATTACCTCTTGGAGGGTTGTAACTGACAAAAAAGGGGTACTAAGGAATCTTCCGGGGTGTTGAAATATTCTGCACATTGATCTGTGTGGTGATCATTATATATACATACATATTTATGTGTAAAAATTCATCAAGTTGTACATTTTCGAACTGCGTACTTTACTGCCTATACATACACCATAACAAAATTTAAAAGGCACCAAAAAAACCTATGGGCATTCACCCTTTCTTTTACCACCCTTCTCCTCCAACATGAGCTCCTTAAAGCATAAATATTTTTATATCTTAAAATCACTAATTCATACTTATCATTTTGACTGGAGCTATTTAAATACCTAAGTATTCGAGCTAAAAATGCTGCATATGAATTTATGTCCTACTTTACATAAATTCTTTAACTGTGAAATATGGGGTGTTTATATTTGTCATTCGACAAAAAGCAATGAAAGATATTTTACATTTCTTTCTTCTCCCTTAGCCTATTAACCATTTCAGCATTCACACAATAACAAATGTAAACTTGGGAATTTATGTATGGTTACAAATAATAAGATAGAAAAAGCAAATAAAGAACATCGATGGGGAGCCTGGGTGGCTCAGTGGGTTAAGCCTCTGCCTTCAGCTCAGGTCGTGATCTCAGAGTCCTGGGATCAAGCCCTATATCCAGCTCTCTGCCCAGCAGGGAGCCTGCTTCCCCCTCGCTCTCTGCCTGCCTCTCTGCCTACTTGTGATCTCTCTCTGTCAAATAAATAAAATCTTAAAAAAAAAAAAAAAAAAGAACATCGATCCCCATTTCCATGAACTGTTTATAAATGCTTTACAAAAATCAGCTTTGGGGGCACCTGGGTGGCTCAGTTGGTTAAGCAACAGCCTTCGGCTCAGGTCATGATCCTGGAGTCCTGGAATCAAGTCCCGGCTCCCTGCTCTGCAGAGAGTCTGCTTCTCCCTCTGAAGCACCCCCTTCTCATGCTCGCTCTCGCTCTCTCTCTCTCTCTCTCTCACTCATTCTCTCTCAAATAAATAAATAAAATCTTTTTTAAAAAACCCAAAAGAACAAAAATCTTTTGGGCACAAATGGAAAGCATGTATGGCATGATGGAAGAGGAGAATTCCAGGGAGGATAGCTGGCTTCTAATTCCAGTTCCGCCACCAAAACAAAATAAAGCTATCTTGATTGAGCACCTACTAATATCACATTCTAATCTAGGTCTGTGAAAAATAAAAAACAGAATAGATAATATAAGTAAGAGTGTTTAGCATTCTCTAGATTCTGAATTAGCTCAACACCATTAAGAAAGCTGTTTTGTTTACTAAACCCAAGATACTTGTTTAAATTTAATAAATCAAAAAGAGAAGCTCCCAGTTCAATTCTATATGGAGACTTTTCATTAATGTAAAATAATAGAGTGATTATGTCCTTTTTAGGAAGAGGCCTATTCATGTTTATGGACATGTAAATAACTGTTCAGTTAACCAACAAAATTATTCTTAAAAGAATTTATCTTTTAGGCAAATCCTAGAGACAGAAAGTAGATTAGGGATTGACAAATAGATCAGAGGGAGGAATGTGGAGTAACTATCAATGGCCACAGGGGGTTTTCTTTTTGGAGTGATGAAAATGTTCTAAAATTTAAAAAAAAAAAAAAAGGTTCTAAAATTAGATAGTGGTAATGTGGCACAACTCTGAATTTCCTAAAAACCAGTGAGTTGTACAACGCCCTCACTGATCACGACACGTTCTTATTCTGAGGTAAATTTCACTAAACCCTTATAAACTGATTTGTTTCATCAAGGACGCTACTTTTTTCCCCATTCTGATATTGTTATTAAATCAATTTAACCTGAACCATTCAGTCTTACCTCCACAGGTAGTTTCTGCTTTTTCTTTATGCTTGCCTAAACGCTCCTGTTACAAGCTACAGATCAGAAACTGAGTCTTCTGGAAGAAACACAAAAGCCTCAATAAAAGACTATACAAGTACTCCTAATAGTTGATATTACAAAGATGTTACTCATAAATACAAGCATCCTGGGAAAAGCTGACATGATCACCAGAAAAAAGACATTTCTCAGAAGGTATCAAGTGATGTCAAGGATGTCTTTACATCCCAGAAGCAGATGACTTCATAGAAGTAGACTGCTTATCCTAAGAGCAACAGAACACAAATTTCCTAGATACTTTGAAACTACTGCTTTTAACACTTTTCTTTTCATGCTTTTGTTCTAAATCACCCTGTCATTTCTCCTTTATTGTGATAATGTAGAAAACTACTCTGAACTGATACGCTGGTAACCAGTTCATCATCCACCTAGCTCACACCGGTAAGGCTCAACCGCAGGCTGACCTCAGCCCTGGCAGAATGCCTCATGAGCCTCCAGAATACGGAAATAGAGGCAGTCTTGGGAGGTGCTGCTACATAGCTATTTTTAACCCACCTCCATATATCTCCTTGTACGGCCGCTGTTCCTCAGCCACTACCCTACCTACCCTACCCACTACCCTCAGAGTGTACCCTACCACTCATGCTGCCTGTGATTATTTGGCCTCTTTGGTTTCAGTGTGACCCAGTAAGACGATGGACACGAGGAGCTGACACCATGGTGATCCTATATTTGTTGTCTATATAAATAATAAACTGAATTTTACTGGCTGAATTTGTCAGCATGCCTAATGGAAAACTTG